ATAACAATGCGCTCTTGATAATTTAATCTAGAATAGAAAATCTTTGTGCCTTTCACTGCACAGTCAGGCTGTGGTTGATTCGAAAGCAAAAAAGAATTGAAATCCGTTAAAGAGCGTGAGAATGAAAAATTAAAAATTAAGTCGTCAGCCTGACGTCGGTCATTACCTATACTCGAAGCCAGTGTAGTTTCGTAATCGGAAAACTAATTTCGGTAGCAGTTAAGACGATGACGGACTCTTCGAGAGGTTAGGCCAACGCGCAGTTGGCTATGAGGTCTAGCGCGGGTCTCATTGGCAGCAGCCAGCAGGCACGGGGATAGGAATCGGTCGCGTCTCCGTTCGCCGTTTACCAAGTACCAGGCAGCAGGGCTCCTTCCGTATTTGTCCCTCCCGATTACGTTTCTTCTGGTTCGTAGGCCGGGAGACGCTAATAAACGTCCAATGGGAAACCTTTGTTCGGACGTCGACGAGGAACTCCTGGCGGGAGCAGAAGGGCTCGGGGATAACGAGAAGAACGAAAGTCGCAAGATCGTTAATGAAATGGAGTCGATCTACGAGGAGAAAATTGGTGAAATCGATCGTGACGTTCATCGGGCATTTCTTGACGGCGAACCAATTCTCTCTCGTCTCTTGCGCAACGTACCTGCCGAGCACGATATTCTTGACGTCGTCTGTACCGTCAATAGGCTTGTCTTCTTTTACGTTATCATCAAGTGGGTCAATCTCGAGGTGTGGCTGCGTTTCGGGGGTGGTCCATTCGCCATGAATCGTTGATCGCTCTCAACCTTCGTAGACGCTTCGAGTAAGTTCCTTGCTGTTTTATTGCAACGAATTTGAGTGAAGCTCAGTGGCTTTACGAGGTATTGAAAATATGACAGTGGTCACGTTTGAAATAAATGATATTTCTGGAGCAAAGCTGGTGGGACAAAGGGAATCGTTACTCGCCGATGGGGACTGAATGTACCTGGAGGGGGAGCTTCTCGCGGGATACGGGGAGGATCTGAATAACGTTGGAATATCGGGGCAGATTGAAATTCCACGAAGTCGGGGAAGTATGTAAAAAAAAAATATTGGGGCAAACGGCTTCGCGCTCGAGGTACTCTTTTTGGGATCGTGCGGTCGCACGAAGTATTTGCCATTGCGTGGAAAAAAATTTATTTTACGCCTTTGGGTATGTTCGATTTGAAGATTTGGTAAATTTGTTAATCCTCTCGCGAGCTTTATATTCGTAATTCAATGTTACGTGTCAATTTCGAATCTGTCGATTTGAAAATTGGTTTGACCTTTTTTTTTTTTATTTTGACCTATGTACGTTATAGTATTTTTTTACCATGGCAATCGCACGTGATATTTGCGTGTACCGGGCTGTCGGGTCTATAACGATACAATTGATAAGCATACTTTATATGGCTTTATAGAATTTATTTGTAGATGTCGCCACTCGTCGGTTATACGTACTTTGGACTTTTTTCTTTGGATTTCGACCATAGCGTCTGTCCTCGTTGAATGAAATTCTATTATTAAAGCAGGAGTCATCGGTTATATTATTATTAAACGGGCTCGCAGACGTCTCTGGGAAATCGGAGTCTCATCTCTGCTTCCGGAAACGGACGTTGGCTGCAAGCAGAACGTGAGGACGATTTACGTTAAGCGGAATCAAAACAGTGATTACGCATCGGGAGGGCAGCAGCGTTTTCCCAGAACCTTTCGGATTCTTAGAGACGACTCTGTGGTGGGTCGGGCTTGGGGAGGGGAGGTGGGTTCGTTATTTTTAAAAACTCATCGTCCTGCTACACTTTTTGTCAACCTCCGCGATGCTTCTCCCGCTGAGACGTCTTGACGTTAGTCTCGTGGAATTTAGTGGCTGTCCGAGAAGCGCATTGGAGCGAGACGAAACGAAGGGGTGAAGCGTAAAATTTGCTGGATAATACAAAATGAAAATGTCTGGGACATTAAAAGAAAAAATTATTGACTTTTTTTTTTAATACGAGAGCAAACGATACTTTTTTGAAAAAATCGGAAAAAATGACGTCTAGACGCAGTACTTGCTACGTACTTGTCTTGAATTTCAAAAGAAAAAAAAAACTGAGGGTCCGAACGATGGAACGCTGTGGAGATGTACTAGAGACTATATATATCTTTATATCTATATATATCTTTCGAATGGGACTTACTGGGAAGGTTAGCATATGATTTTTTTTTTTTACAAATTTGATTCTCATTTTCGATTTTACTTTGTATCGTAGCTACGGGTTTCTTGGCTCTTTCGTACGGCACTGTCATTCCGCTACCCCCCTTGTCTCTCGAGCATCCCCCAACATTCGCTACGTATTTAGGCACTATGATTCTGTCAAGAGTTCACTAGCTGGTAGAGATGCTGTCTGTATCTGACAGGCTTTAAAAATCTCCCTGCACAGATGACCGCAGCAGCCATTTAAACTTCCTCTTAGGATAATCCGTAGCTTTGAAAATGTCAAAATTTTTGAAAAAAAAAAAAATTTGTAATCTTAAACTTCCGATTGGTTACGTTATCAAGATATTCGATCTTCGAACGGTAAAAAATTATAATGCATCAATTCATTTACATTGAAAAGGTCCGCCGGAAGTACCGGAAACACGTGACTGCCGCGTCTACGATCACCGCCGAGCATTCGTTAACCCCAGTTGGTATTCATCATGAACTAAAACGGTCGACAGTGAAACTTGGAGGGATCATCGACCGTGAAAACAGCAAATAAAATTTAATACTGTGCCTCGTGACAGAATTTTTTTTATCCCTGATTAACGAAGACCTTTGACCTTTCCTCAGAAATTTGCATACCTATCACCATATTAGAATAGCATCGACGATCAAGGTAATTTCGTCGGTATAAATAACGTCCGGGCGTTATCGATAATTCGCTAATGATTTATCCCGTCGGGTCATCAAGTTCATTCAGGAAATTAACATAACCGATATCAGCAGAGCAATCGACTTTATTGGTTATCTCGTAGGGGTGGGCGGTGATGAAGGGGGGTGGTCCGGCATTGATTACGAAAATTGAATGGACGGTAAAGCGTATAACTGAAAAGTGGCCTCTTGAATTGGAAAAATAAAAATTTTCCCTAATTAGCCAATCACCTAGACTCAACTGGATGATTATACCCGGACTCCACTTGCACACTGAGATCAAGTAATCTGCCTGCTGGTACATCGTGTCATCTGATCCATCCAATCGTAATTCTCCAGTTACACTTTACTCGCGTGGGTGCTTCCTGCCTGATAACGAATCTTGCCGAGAATTGTTATCATTATTGACATTCCTTTGTATCACGACTACTATATTCTTCGGACTTTATCTCCTCTCTGATTCGGCTTTATATTACACGTGTAAATATAAGCGTCTCGGAGTGCCGCTGTAACGCTATCTTATTTTTGGATTAACCAGTGGTGACATCCTGTACCTTGCGTGACGGTAAATTGGTCTTTGTTTTAATTTTAATGAACTTAGAAAAAAAAACGTGCTCGAACACTTTTGACTTGAAATCGATGCTTCAAGGCCACTGCTGATGTGGGATTGTTATATTTTTTTATTTCCATGGAACTTTCGTTGGCAACACTGAAAAGGGGTTATTGGTATAATTTATCTGTATAAAAATAATTTATTATCAGGAAAGCTCGAAATTACATGTGGCAGGAACATGTGGTTGAGAACAGCTGATCGATACGTGGATTGTTACGAGGGTAAACCTTTCTTTACAGCTACTTTCTGGATGCTGCAGTTTTTAGGAAATTGGATACGTCCCATTGGGATTAGACGGAGGTCTAGTTTGTTTAGCATAAATAGTTATTTGATGGAAAAAAAAAAAATTTGTTCTAAAATTAAGCTCAGGCAAGCTTGGCAAATTTTTGAGGTACTGTTTTTTTTTTTTTGTGTTTAAGGTTATGTATGCAGATATATATGTACATATGGAGGGAGACTCGCGTGTTCGGATTACCGCAGGTGCAGCTCGCACCTGTATATACGAAAATACACTTTGCACTGGCTTATCAATAATTCTTCATATCGTTCGATCGTTATCGATTATGTAGACTTTGTTTGGTGATGCAAGTAGAACGACTTGAAAAGAAATTAATTTAATGAAAATCAAATTTGACATTTGTTCTTGGTATTGACAAGCTCTTTACGTAGTGTAATAAGTATATCGTGATACGAAGAATCGCTGCTTTTCAAATTATTGGATCAATTTAAAAAAAATGTAAATCGATAAAATTTTTTTTTCCTGAGAATTTCATCGGTTCCAACAGTATCGTCGTGTATCCAGCAAGTAATAAAAATGGATCGACACCTCGCGCGAAAGTTCTATTTTAATGAATATAACAGCAGTTGCGCGTCAATCTTGCGTTAACGTACGCGGAATTTCCTCGCTGGGAAAACACCCACTTAATATTATTATTATCGCGTGACACACTACAGGAACGTATTATTTAAAATAGTTATCTCTCGCGTACATAGAGAACGAGAAATTTCACCCTCGCGGTGAAGAAATTATTTTTGAGTTGACCCAGAGATGGTATCGAGTGTCGCGAAGATAGAAATTGAAGCGTCTTCACGTCACCCTTCGTTTATCCCAGCACCGCGCGGTCTGAATTAGCAGGCGTCGAACGATCCGCGGGATCCTTCGTATTTAAATTTCGAAAAAGAAAATTAGCGACATCCAACGTATTACGAAAAGTAGTCGAAAAATTTCTTAAAACTTTTTATACGTGCGTCCCTGGTGCCGTCGATCCATGAAAATTATACGGTTGGGATTCTGACGAGCACCAGGAGTCGGCTACGCCAGAGGCAGACGAAGAGGTAAAACTACGGATGAAGATAATCGTGGCCGAGGTGGAGGAACGAGAGAGGGAGAGAGATAGAAAATTATAACGAGGGTGAGCAGCAGCGAGTATAGGCAGACGTAGACGTCGTTGCGGCGACGCCGATGCGATAGAAGGGGTATGGCGTCGGGGCGCCCGGCATCCGTCGGCTGGTCCTCCGTTCCGTGGTTGCAGTCAGTCCGCTGCCAGACGCGCTTCGAGTAACATGTATGCTGCAAGGATATTATTAATTCGAAGTCTGCTTTGGTAACAAGCTCTAAACAAAGTTCTAACCTCAATCCTGTGTTTGATAAATCAAAATCTAAATTATATAGACTTTAAAAAGTAATCGAAAACTTAGCAGTTCACATCCGTGCGCAAAGTTCATTGGTTTATAAGTCCGTATTAAGTCTACGAACTCTTGCCGGTCAACGGCACTAGCTGCCTTCGGTAGCTCCGCGATCGTGCATCAGCTGCCATCCTGTACAGTAACATAACCTGCAGAGGTTACCGTTAAATCCAACCGGTAATTTCCACGCCACTTTTTACACGCTAAGATCGACAAAGGAATCTTGAAAAATCTCTCTGTCCAGGCCAAGTTCGTTGATACTTGTGACTGAGAAAATACGTACTTTTAATAACACGATAGAAAATTGTGGTTGCGCTCAGGCCAGACGCTGACAAAAAAAAAGACGCTACGGACTCGAGTTGGAGGGGAGGCGGGTTACGTTTCGTGGAAACCAGTTCTAACAGGCACAAAGGATTACAGAAAAGTCATCGTCTACCAATTCAAACGGCCAGCAGTTTTCTCTATACTCCAACGAAAATCTACTGTCGTTCGTCTTAACCTAATTTGTGTCTTGTGACTTCTACGTCATCCATTGTCGTAAATTTTGTTGGTGCTGTTTGTGCAAGTGACTTTTGACTGTGCTAATACGTAAATCGATTTATCGTTCGCTCGTCGAAAGCGATCGTAAGCGTACGGCATCATTGCTACCATTTTGAAGAAAATCACCGAGGCGATGAAAACCAGGGCGATCAGCTGACTAGCGGAGTTGTTCGGCTCGGGAATGGGTGGAAATTTTAGTCGGCACGTTGAGCTTAAAAACGCTCAACTGCAACAACAACAGGAACGTCCAATTTGTTCAGTGATGACGTTCGGCACTTCGCTTCACAGCGAGAAGGCCCACTTCGCCAATGACAACACAAGCCGGTATGTCCACTGATGTTTTTTATCATGGCTCTCGTTAACCCATTAGAATTGTTCTTGTTTGATAAATGACAAAGAAACACGATGCTCGAGGAAGCGTTGGAGAATCTCTTAGAATTCTTAACAACGTTTCGCTTAAGCTTTACTGTCTGCCCTCGAGTACCTACGCGTATATACATATACGATACTCACGTTTGGAGGTTAGGTCTAGGCTGTTACGCTTTATTTGCGATAACAATGTTTTTCCAATGACCTGTCATTCGTTCTGTAATACCGTGGATATTTTCAATCAAGCTGATCAATTTTCTCAGCCGGTACTGACCGTGTTAATAATTTTTCTTTGAAAAGTCTTAACTGTCTCTCTCTAACTCGCTCTCTTGAATTCTTTCACGAGTACCGTAATCGTCTGGAACAATTCAATAAGACTTCTGTGTCTACTGTTATTGTGGTTGCATAATTGCATCCACGGTGCATTGTATCTGAGTCTGTAGTTGAGAAAATATCAGGTTGCTCATCTAGTTGTTATATATATGTGTAACAACATGCCACTCAGTTCAAAGCAATGATGACTAACGTTTTCATCTACTGTTTCCTGCTCGTCCGGTTATAGAAAAGAATTGCGACACGTTTTTCACGCGCTGCAAGAACAAAAACGGGATGTCTTTGTTGCGTGATAAATAATAATACGACCTTGATGTACTGCGTGATACGTGAAGCAGAAAGAGCGAGGGAAAATATACAACAAGGAACCCAAATGGCATTAATCATACTTTTGTAATTCATTATTCGCATTCGAGACTCGCGTCGGTCGCGGAGAAACGTGTGTGCGCGTACGCGCATGCGCGTGCTGTGTGTTGCGTCGTAAAAATGGACGTTTAATATTTTACTGAGTTATAATTTTTTCCAACTACCTCACAGTTACCCCGGTTCTTGGTGATTTGCATCGGACTTTAATTAGTATCTTTTTTTAGCTCACTCCACTGAGCATCTGTGAGAAGCAGTTAAATAACGGTTTCATTCATTACAGGCTCGCTCGAAAGCGCAGAAAGCCTGTCCGAGCGTCTCGTTTCATTGAAAATGCTCGTTGCAAAAATTATTGCCGAAAACTTGGAAATTCTCCCAAGGTAACAGATAAGAGCAGAACGAATTATTTGGTAACAATGATACACGGTTTCCTCCGGTCGAGTCTGTTCGAATCCGGAGATATTTTTCTTGGATATCTTTGCTCTAGTTTCTAGGGAATTTTTTTTTTCTTTCCCACTTACATCGAATCCCCCGCAGCTATACCGGAACTCTGAAACGTTCATTCATTGCACCGGAGCCATTAAAAGGAATATAAAGAAGGAAGACTCGTATACCTTCGTATAGGAATGTATTTCTAAAAAGATGAAAAAAATCCAATTTTAAGGAAACTCCACGAATTTGTAGGAGTACGCTAAAAAATTGCTTTTCTTTTTTCTGGTTGTACATTTTTTAATCTTCCACGAGAATCATTGTTTGCGATTCCGTAAGCAATTCCGCGTTGCGGCCTTGGCGCTCCGCGGGAAACTGTCAGTGAAAACGTATCGCGCCTCGTCATAATTGCAGAGACGGCTGCAGTTGAGTCATTAGCCTGATTGCACTTTTGTACACTCAAGGTATCAATAAAAATTATTTTTACCATTCACGTCGTCGAGCTTACCCAATTTCGATTCGCAAAGCTGATAAGAATTTTCGATTTACTCAAATAAAATTATCTGTATATTTTTAGGTTATGCAACGCTTACCACTATGCTCGCCCATGGCAAGCCTAGATGCTAATTCTAATGCTCAGATTACAGTGTAATATCTGATGATCTTATAGGGCAGCAGGTTTATGAATGAAAATTAATTCGTTAGCGAGCGGATGAATGGATCATTGAACAGAAGGATGGATGGCTCACCCCGTTAATTCTATCTGCGCTTATCGTCAATTGTCCGTACAGCGTATATCTGTATGCGCCCTATGATCAGACACTTTACAAGCGCGAAATCGGCATTTTACTTCGGCAATAAGTCATTGCTTGGTAGTTTGTAACACATGGCGATTGAACCGGAAAAATGGTTCTGCTAGAAAACGGGCAAGCAAGGTCACCGCGCATATAGATTGCTATGACCTTCCTATCTTAATGTTTTACTGGGGCAACGGAATCATCGTTGTATAGATATAGCCAATGCTGAGTAAACTGAAGTCAGTAGCAAATCGAGTTGGATCCGTCTTCCACTCGAACTATGGGTTGGATCAGGGGTCAAGATGAGTTTGGTTTTGCTTGAGACTAGTGCATATGGGGGGGGGGGGAATTTTTGATGAGTTTATTTTTTTTTTAGGTTGGTGTATCTTTTATTACTAGGATAAATGTCATCCTCATTGCGACAGGAGGAAAATGCTTTATGACTATACTCTCGTAAAAGGCAGGATATACTCGTTCCGAGGCAAATGAGGTTATTAAGTTAGGTTTTATTTTCTAGTTTTTCGTCTCTTTTCTCTCCCTAACAGTGTTTTATGGGAAAGAGGGTTTTGACGTCGCGTCGTCTTGAGGACTTACGGTATAGATTGACATTTTTATTATATTTATGTACTGGTTGGTTTTTGAAAAAATTTTTTTTTCTTTACGAGTTCACTATAGGTTAACGTTGTTTAGGTGGCAGTCGACAGTTATTCCGATTGAGTCTTTTTTTTTTGGTAGTTTCATATATTGGTCTTTGAGAGTGAAAACAAAATATATCGATCGCTTATCGATTCTTTTTTTTTTCGCGCAGACCCGAATCGAAGTTAAATTCACGCGAATCGAGAGCATTCGGGAAATACGCTTTCTCTAAGGATTTCACGCGCGAAAGTTCGCAAACTAGTCGCGATGCTAATCGCGCGCATCCTGTGACGAGCCGACCAAGATGGTCGATTGTCGCCGTGTGAAAATGAGCCGGAATAAAAAAAAACTTTGTTCCCGCAAATCCGTAACCCAAATTTAATATCCAGTACCTCGTTAGATATCGCAGAAAATTGCGATCGAGACGACAAAGGATGCTGCAGCCTTACGCAATCTAAAATCCTATTTTGTCAACAAAGCGTACACGAAGCGAATAGCGTGTTGACGATTGCAGTTAAAAATAATTATTTCAACAGCAATGATAAGAATTTCGAAAAATTTTCAATTTTTTCTACTCCAGATCTGTATCACAAATTTCCGATAACTTCCGGTTTTTTTTTTTTTCCCAATCTAACCACGTCTTCAAACACTCTACCGCGTAGTTGAGAATTTTCTATATTTGTCTACCTCCGTACATATGGTCAGTATGTTATTCATTGTTCATCTAATTGTCTATATCGCAACGTTTACGTAATTCGGATCACGTCCATCTAACCTAGTACGGTCGAACTACGCACGGGATCCCTCTTGTAATTCCAAAGGAAAAATTTTCGCCCATCCATCGACGCATATCGGGGGGGTCCTCCCTCTGTCGGTAATCATCATACCGTCAATTCAGTCCAACATCCGTCCACGTGATACGCGCGACATTTGCTTCGGCTCCCGTAGTGCCCGGCGGTTGGTTTCCTGGCCGATGACGTCATAGCCTCTCAAAACTTGCCAGGACGATTCCGAATGATACGTATTTTCTTTTTCCATAACAATGTCATTTCCTACGCGTACTCTGTCTACCCAATGGACGATCGGTAGTGCCCGGCGGTTGGTTTCCTGGCCGATGACGTCATAGCCTCTCAAAACTTGCCAGGACGATTCCGAATGATACGTATTTTCTTTTTCCATAACAATGTCATTTCCTACGCGTACTCTGTCTACCCAATGGACGATCGGTAGTGCCCGGCGGTTGGTTTCCTGGCCGATGACGTCATAGCCTCTCAAAACTTGCCAGGACGATTCCGAATGATACGTATTTTCTTTTTCCATAACAATGTCATTTCCTACGCGTACTCTGTCTACCCAATGGACGATCGGTAGTGCCCGGCGGTTGGTTTCCTGGCCGATGACGTCATAGCCTCTCAAAACTTGCCAGGACGATTCCGAATGATACGTATTTTCTTTTTCCATAACAATGTCATTTCCTACGCGTACTCTGTCTACCCAATGGACGATCGGTAGTGCCCGGCGGTTGGTTTCCTGGCCGATGACGTCATAGCCTCTCAAAACTTGCCAGGACGATTCCGAATGATACGTATTTTCTTTTTCCATAACAATGTCATTTCCTACGCGTACTCTGTCTACCCAATGGACGATCGGTAGTGCCCGGCGGTTGGTTTCCTGGCCGATGACGTCATAGCCTCTCAAAACTTGCCAGGACGATTCCAAATGATACGTATTTTCTTTTTCCATAACAATATCATTTCCTACGCGTACTCTGTCTACCCAGCGGACGCTCATGAAAATCTTACGACCGGTCCGAGGTTGCAGTCAAGGCTATAGAAAGGAACGGCGAACGTGTGTAGCGTCGGTTCCATCTTTCTCCAACAAAGTGCCCGGTTGTTGCCCTCTCTGCGCTCATCTGTTGGAAGGTCGCCTTGACGTGTCTTCGATGCATCATCGAAGGCATTAGGTCGCGCTTAGGACCCCGCTTGCCTCTCGTATTCCAGTTAGTCAACCGTCGCATCCAGGCATTCGAATCGCACGTGACGATTCTTGTGTATCGGAATCTAACGAAGCTCTTGGCTCAGATCGATTCGTACGCGTAGAAACTTGGCGACTTATTCGGCTACTCGCGTGGGTCGAGCTTCTCTTGGAACGTTCGCTGGAAGCGGTTCGTTGCTATTACTGTGTTCCTCATAGCCGGGGCTGGGAATTACTGCGCTTTGACGTACCGACAGTTAGTAATCAGGCACCTGGTGTGCGATCCATTATTCTTGTTGGTAGTAGGACAACTAAAGAAAAATGAGACGCGAAACTCGTTTGTTATATACGTCATTAATCGGTCACGTGACCACGGCTTGGGAATCACGTGCGAATTACACTTTGTTCGTTTACTGCACGACT